TCTGCCCTGGAAGGCTTGTTGTCCAGAATGAAGTAGGAGGTATTTTTGGTGTATCTTTGGTAGTGAAGTTTATGGTGTAGCTTTGGTATTTCCCAGCATGCTTACTGTGTCAAGTAGAATGTTTTCTGAGGAGGCCTGGAGTACATTCTCTGGAGCTGCTGTCAAATGGTTGGCCTACTATAAATGTGGTGTTTTGTTGGGCTGCTGTCAAATGGAAGGGTGCTGAACTGTTGCATTGTGGTGTTTTGTTTTTGTCTTGCTTTTGGTGATGGAAGGGTGTATTGGATCTGGTATGTTATGATCTAATTGTGAGGGATGGGTCAGTGCACCCCTGTTTTGCAGTTCTGATGGGTTACTGTCTCATGCTGTTTTCAACACCACATGAGGCTTTGTGCTAGTTTGCATCTGGTTTGGCTGCAGCTATGCTGGTTAGATTTTGAGTTGAGCCCAGTTAAACCTGCATTGATTAAAGATCTGAATGGTTGGTGTATTTAATGGTCATCATGGCAGTTTGTGCAATGGGTTACTATGGGGTGTGCTGGTGGAATGTAATTGAAGGGTGGCTTTTGGTGGAATGCATCTGATATAGGAAGCTCTGAGCTGGTCTGCATTTGTTTGGCTGCAGCTATACTGGTATGGCTGTAAAGCTGGTTTTGTCTGGTTGCTGCTCTGTTTTGCAATGTTATTTTGTTGTGATGCTACTGTGTGGATGTTGTTGGGTTCAAGTTTGGGGCTGCCTCTGCTATGTTTATGCTTTGTTGTTGGTATTTCATGGTTTTGTACATAGACTGATCAATTTTGGCTGGTATCTGCTGGTAGTTGTTCTGTTAAATGTTACTGCAGGATCATGGGCCTTGTGCTTTTCTGGATGTTTTTTTCTATGCTATGTTTATCTGGTTTTTTTCTTTGTTTGTTCTTGGTTTCTCACCAACTGGAGCTTGTGTTAGCTCGAAGCTCCTCTTTATTGATGTACTCGTTCATCCTTCGTATGTTCTCATCAATAAAAAGTTTGTTTTGCCGATCAAAAAAAATATGTCGTGACATAAAACACTATGATGAGTTTTTTTTTTTTTTTTTGAAAAAATTGGGCTCGTCAAACTTCTATTATTATGAAAATTCAATAGTGATAATAAGAAAATCTGGTAATCTGAAAATTCTGAAAATCTGAAATCTGGAAATCTGAAATATGAAAATCTGGAAATCACTTTGGTCTGCAAATTCTGGAAATCTGGAAATCTGAAATCTAAAAATCTGAAAAATCTGGAAATCTGAAAATTCCAAAATTCTATAGTTATAATAAGAAAATCTGGTGCATTTTCAAATAATTTGATTTTTGTCCAAATCTGGAAATCACCTTGGTCTGTATCTGCAAATCTGAAAATCTAGAAATCACTCTGAAATTTGGAAATCTGAAAAATGTGGAAATCTGAAAATTCTGAAAATTCTATGACATTCAGAAGTATCTGGTTTTTATTAGTATATATATATCTCTCTCAATGCTATAATACAAAGCAACAATAATTGAAAGCAGCATATGCCTACTTTTAGTGACACTAGCAATGTCTTTAACATCCTAATAATCTTCCAATAAACACAATATTCTGGTATTCAAGTAAGATATTCTGGTATTCAAGGTCTTGCATTCAAATCTCTCAATTTGCATTCTTTTTCCACAATTGAGCAATTTCAAGATGTGCCACAATTGAACCTTTTATGGTAGTTTCACTAATGATTTATATGTTTTCTTCCTTAGCAGAGAACATATCTATGTTCTTCGTATATGCCTAAACGTAGTAGCTTTGGTGGTAATCTTGAGACTGAGGTATTACTTTCGGTAGACTTTTTTTTGATAGGTTCTGTATTGAGGTTCGTAGGAAATAATTTCGAAGGTTGTGTTTAGATTATAAATTTGTATATGAATTTGTTGAGAGAAAAGAAAAAGACATAAGGAATGTGAATGACTTTCTATCCACAATTTTTTACTTAAATTTGTGATTCAAATACATTCTGAGGATATTAAGATTAAGGATAAATTATAAATATATTTCTTAAAATTTGTTTAAAATATTAATTACTTTAAGTGGTTTAGAAAATTACATCACTCTTTCAAATTTCTAATCGTATAAAAAATGACTTCTTTTATTAAGCTTGCATAAAATATTAATTGTCTCAGTCATTTTGAAATTCTATCTTGCTTATTAAAGTAATTAATAATTTTAATAATGTCAGAAATATATTGTTATTAATAGTTTCGTTAACTTTATTGTTGTATAGAAAGATACTTAGAAATTTTATTATTTCGGTTAACTCCGTTAAATGATAACACAAGCTCTTTGAATGCAAAGTTATGGAGAGATTTGAATGCAAAGATATTATGTTATTCAAGGTCTGTTAAATGTCAAAAACATATGTTAAGTGAAGTTTCAGTGGATTACACCAAATCATTGCCTACTTAGCCCTTTTCCAACAAACTTTAATGAAAGAACAGCCTATGAGACCCTTCTTTGATGTGCTTTCATTATATTCAATGACTAACCAGTGAATTATCAAAGGATCCAACCAATTGATATGACAGCTATTATGCTCTTCAAGGCTTGTGATTACACAATTGAAAAGTGACCACATGCATTGTTCCTCACATGGATGTAAATTAATATAAGTGATTCTGCCAATGTTTAGACTTGTAACTGGGATAATTCTCATAAAAAATTCAGGGGGAAAAAATAAACCAAATCAGACCCTAGCAATGGTGACATAGTGATTTTGATCTGCTGCATGTTGGCTGAGTCCTTGTAGTCTGCTTAGTTGCTTAGTGCAGGGTGCCATGTCTGCCTTTGATCTGCTGCAAACATGGTTTCTTGACTATATTTTTTTGGTAGATAATAAAAAAAAATTGTCATTTCCATTAAGCAGTCAGTGCTTGTAACTAACTCAAGGAATGATATATGCAAATAACTTGGTATAAAAGAATAATTAGTACACACCCATGTCATTGTTCAAAGATTACCTGAGCATTTCAACTAATTAACATAATCATACTGCATTTCAGCACAGCTGGAGATTGAGAACCATACCTTTCTAGCTCGTGATGGTTTTTCTGCACTGGCAGAGCTCTTTGGATCAGGAAACAATTCTCTCACAATCTTAGACAGCTCCCTACCAGGTCTTGTTTACGCTTCTCCTCTTGGAAATTTTGTAGTAAACTCCATGTTTACTACTTGAAGTTTTCATAAAAAACAGTGCTTAAAAAAAATTAGCAGAAGAACAGCATTATAACAAAACACATGAAGTATCTTTCAAAGTAGCTCATTAAGTGGTGCTTTAAATTCCATTTTAATAAGTGTGTTTTCCCTTCTTTTTCATGAAAGGCAATGCTAACAATCATGTCATTTTTAAGGTCATATCATTGAAAAGCAAATCTCCGGAAATGGTACTAGTTTGGATGTAAACAATTTTTGCCTGCTTGAGCTGGAAGATAGTCTTTTGTTAACTGACTGATTTTCAATTAAACATTGCTTTTGTGGTCCACCATAGCTAATTGCTGTGACTCAAACCCGCGCAACAGTGCTGGGAGTGGATAGCACATGTCGTTGTTCCAAGTCACAGCAAATATCCTTTAGAGGTGCATTGTTTAAAAAAGAAAAAAAAAGACTTTTAACATATCTCTATGTGTATGCCTGTAGTAACTCTAAACAGAACCATCTTCAGCATGTCATTCCCTCAAAGTTGTGCTCTGTTAATAGAGTATTTATTTCTTACTGAGTTTGTCCTTCACCCGTTTTCAATTGATTTGTGCATATTATGCTTCAGTAACGGAGGTTGTTTGGGAGGGTGGGGAGACAGAAACCAAAGCTGATAGTAATACAATGAAGAAAGCAGACAACAACTCAGTTAGCAGTACTGTTAACAGGTAATCATTTTAGTAATTAACTATTTTTGTTTGTTTGATTGTTAGTTCATTTTTAGTTATCTTGCTCACACCTCTTCTTTTCTTTTATTTTTATTTATTTTATTTTATTATTTTTTTTGTGGAGGTTTTGTTACAAAATGATGAAACATTGTAGGAACAAATGACTGTAACCAGAAATTCTATTTGTCAGTTCAGTTTTTTTTATCTCATTGCATCAATACTAATTTACCATGCTTTGCATGCCATATTCTATTTGTCAGTTCAGTTTTTTTAAAATAAGTGGTGCGGTACAAGTCCGAGAATAGGTCAGGAAAGAGAAGCCATGCTACTGAGGGGATCATACTAATGAGATCGGACAATTTGGGACGATCTCAGAATTACTTCAAATTTAGTAGTAGTTTTGATCAGCCATAACAAGTTGAACACAATGCATTGCCTTTGGCAACGATGCATGTGGAATTGGCTAAATTCCATTGATTAGGCTTTCAAAATAGCTTTTTCCTATTTTAGGAAAGTTTTATTCTTTCTATAACTTTGTTTTGAAGTTTGTGCTTTCGGCACCACTTATTTTGGCATGTCTTATAAATCAAGGAGTATTCAAGTTTGGACTTAAATTTGTCATTTTAGTGATTTTCCCTTTTCTTAGTTATTTCTGTTCTGCAAGAATTATGATTAATCTACAAATAGTGATGTAAACATCCATAAGAGGCAATTCATTCTTACTAATATTTCAGAGTGTTTATAGAAATTCCTTGTGGATTAATTTTCTTTCTCATGGATTGAAGATATTTTTGTCTTCTAGAACAATATCTAGACATCGTACCCTATTCCGTTGCGTTATGTGAATAACTACATGACTAGACAACTATTAAGGGCAGAATTTGCAGAGTAACTGAACAATCCAATGTTTTTTGTTTAAAAATAAACAATCCAATGCTTATAATGTACAATAGTTCAAATTCAAAAATATATATATATATAAAAGAAGAGAGTACAATAGCATAATAACTTACAAACAAATAACTGTGCAAATAAAAAGCCATTACTTCTATTTCAAGAAAATTTTGTAGATTTGATGTCAGACATGCCTCTATGGCCTTTCTGCAATGCTCACACACTCACTAAACCTAAAATAATCAACAAGATGATCAATTGTCATTCCTGCAGCTTGCATAAATGAATAGACAATCAGCGGTCCCACGAACCGGAAACCGCGCTTCAATAAGTCCCTGCTAACGGCCTCTGCTTTTGGAGATCTCAAAGGAACATTTCTTGGGTATCTGTATCTGTTGATCACTGGTTTGTAATCTACATAAGCCCACATATAGCTACTGAAAGATCCAAATTCCCTCACAATCTGCATTTGTAGTTCAAATTCAGCTACTGTATCTATGTTAGTTGATGCATATGCTCTGTTTGTTTCGGAAAAAACTTTTTCTAGAAAATGTATTTTGCAAAAGAGGTTTTTCTATGTTTGGTTGCTTCTGTATAACTAATGTGCTGGTGCTGTGGCGGTGGTAATGAGTTGAAGATTGTAGTGGTTGTGTGGTGGTGGTAGTGATAGAAGCGGTAGTGGCGATAAAGGTAGTGGTTGGTGGTGATGGTGTTGGTGATGGTGCTGGTGCTAGAGTATCAGTGACAACGATTGTTTTGTGGTGTTGTGGGTGGGTGGTGGTGGTAACAGTGGCGGTGGTGGCGGCGGCAACATTGGCAACGGTCGAGGTGATGGTAAGGTGGTAATGGTGTTACCTCTAGTCCAAAAAACAATTTTCATTTTTAAAAGTAAAAAATATTTTTCACCCAAATAATTTTGTTTTCTGTTGATCACATAAAATATTTTAGTGTTATTTGATTTTTCAACATAACAAACGTAAGAAAATAGAGAAACATTTTGTGCCAAAACAAACGGAGTGGAAAACTTATGAAGACATGAATTATGCAAAACTTGCCTGCACTATGCATTTGGCATTGTCTACAATGCACCTCACTCTGCTCTCTGTTAGCATTATTGCTTTGTTGGATGCTATTTCCATGATCTTTTTCTCCCCCATTTTTGCAACAGTGTTGGGATCAAATCCAGCAAACGTTTCTCTACATATATGCTCATTATTGTACTAATATTGCGTCCAATATATGATATTGACTAAAAAAATTTAGCAAAAAAATAAAAATAAAAAGAAAAATCTTAAGTTTTTACTAGCATTGGTAGTGAGAAAAACAAATAAATTTACCTAAACAATTCCTTTCTTTTGAGAATCTCTGTCCAATTGTAATCCATCAACATACTAGACATTGCAAGCAACTCAAACAAGGCTTGTTTGTAATCATTCCATGCTTATTGGTCAATTACATATTTCGTTTGCTTGTGGACAAATAAAGGTGTGGGACACACAAGCAAACTACCAGTTAATTCATGTGACACAAAACAGATCCAGAACTAAAAATAGATCCAAAGTCAAAACATTCCACAAATAGCAGCAAGGAACAAAACATCAAAAGTCAACAAATAGCAGCAGAAAATACTCATCAACAGCAGCAAACATATCAGCTTAAACAGATCAGCAAACAGTTCAAGGTCAGTTAACTTATTCATTCTCTCCCATTTTTATATAAGAGTTAGATGCCCTGATGTGATCCATTCCTTATTCTTCTAGCTTGAAAGTGTAATAATCAAGCATTATTTGGGTGTACTCTTTTTCTGTGACGAACTTTTATTTATTTCTATTGTTTTTGTGTAATTTAGTTCATACCTTCTAAATTATTTTTGTCTAATTTAGTTCAGGTATTAGTTGAGTTAGTTCATGCCTTCTAAATTATTTTTGTCTAATTTATTTTAAAGCAGGCATATCATGCTTTATAGTGTTACTTGTGTTATTACAGATTGGAAAATGGTCCCTGGCTTAAAGACTGGTCGACTTCGGAAGAAGACACTCACGCAGCCAGAAACAGACTCGCCAGCTGCTATTCCTTTAGGATCACCCGTTGCTCCATCTCCTGTTCTCTCCATCCGATCAAATGTGGGACCATCTCAGCATGTCACTAGCCAACCAATGGTTGATTCTGATGAGACACAAGCCCCATCCGAAACGCAGCCGAGTGGCGCAGGTAAGATTAAAGTGCATCAAATTTGTCAATTAGCACATGCCATTGCCATTGTTTTTTTGTAGGCAATTTTTAGCCAATTTTCGTGTTGTTATTTTGTTAACAGGGACTTCGAAGCCCCTACATGTACGTGGACCGACACTTGGCAAAGGCATACAAAAAATAATTAGAGCCAAGAAAGAGGAAAAATGTTATGTTCACATTGATCGTGAGTTGAATGCAATGACTGGCAAGTATGCCACTCCAGCAACTAATGAGTTAGGAATTCAAATTAGAACTTTGTGCCCTTTGAAAGATGTGAAGTCATGGCTGGATCTTGATGAGATTACAAAAGCTTCCGTCATCCAAGGAGTTCTTGTAACTAATATTACTTGTCCACAAGATGTAATTGTATTATGTATGCTAATAAGAAAGACTAATATTTAATGATTACAATTTCAATTTGTTTTGCATGTAGGACAAGTTTCAAATTGGAGACGATTTCCACAATGACTTACAAGCACAAGAGATTGTGAATAAGAAGGCCTATGGGTTGTACAAAGATTGGAGGTACAGCTTGAAGCAAGAGTTCGAATTGTTAGAGGGACATCCATGTGATGAGATCTATACTCATCCGCCCGTAGGGGTGAGTTTAGATAATTGGAAGCATTTGATCGATGTGGCATGGCAAGATGCATCTCACCAGGTAAAATAATAGACTAGATAGAGTACATACATCTATGTGAAAATGGGATATGCCTTAATATTTACCTATAAATTGTTTATCTGCTTGACTTATTTTTAGAAACGGTCAAAAGCTGGCAAGAGTAATAAGAGTCAATTGTCGTACAATCATACAATGGGTCTCGCTCATTTCCTATCGCAATGGCTGCTATGGTGAGTTCGATTTTTTTTAAACTTGAATCCATTATATGTTGTTTGGATATGAAAAATGTTATGTTGTGATACATATATATATATATGTTAAACTCTGTTAGTAAACATCTACTGTCTGTAAAAAATCTGTCTGGAAAAAATCTGTTAATGATACCCTTGCCACATGTTTGCATTCTAAATTTGTTTACACTATACTCTGTTTTTCATTCGAAATCAGTCTCACAAAATCTGAACTATACTGCCCCAAATCTAAACTATACTATGTTTTTCACTTCAAATTATTAGTCTTGTAGCTCTATTTGTTTTAGATTTAAGTTAATACATTCACAAAAAACAGATATTCCTGTACATACACATGTTATAATACACAAAATCTGAAGTGATTATAAGTGGCTATCTGTGAAAATCTGTTTGTAAAAATCTGTTGGACAGAATCTGTTTGAGAAAAGCTGAACATATGTGTTCGCAAAAAAATGTTGGAAAATATAAATCTGTTAATGATAATCTCTTTGAATTCGAACTCTGTATAAATTAAAAAATCTGTCTACAACAACTCTTCCCGTATTGACATAGTGCATGCAAAAAATCTTATGGCTCAACTTTGGTGCATAAAGTGGCTTTCAGTTATACGTTGATGTGTTAACAGGTACCAGAAAATGGAGAGTTGGATTTTCCTAAGTTCTTCGAGGATAGCCACACTTTTAACATTTACGAATGACTAGATCCATCCGAAATGCGGTGAACTTTAAATACCTGATACAAAATTAGGACCATCACCAACTAATCCAACTTCAGCCATGTAGGGTGTAGCACAACCATTAGGACAACCAGTTATCATTATCACTATAGATTCATTATATTCAAGACCAATCTGAAATCATAAAAGTCCATGTGGTTAACACGCATCATTACCTAATCTAACAATATGACCTTAATCGAAAACCTTTTTTAGCTAATTTGCTGGATTTTTTAATTTATGTAGCTTAATTAATATACCTTCTCAAGTACATCATGAAAATCTGGCTGCCTCTATTTTACTAGAATACTCAAGTACTTTACTAGAATACTCTTGTAATCTCAAGTACTTTACTAGAATACTGCTGCCTCTATTTCCAAATCTGGATCATAAAAGTCCATGTGGTTAACACGCATCATTACCTAATCTAGCAATATGACCTTAATCGAAAACCTTTTTCAGCTAATTTGCTAGATTTTTTAATTTATGTAGCTTAATTAATATACCTTCTCAAGTACATCATGAAAATCTGGCTGCCTCTATTTTACTAGAATACTCTTGTAATCTCAAGTACTTTACTAGAATACTGCTGCCTCTATTTCCAAATCTGGTTGCAAATCTGTCTGAAAATCTGGCAACAAATCTGTCTAAAAATCTGTCTCCAAATCTGTCCAGCAATTTGTTTTAAAATCTGTTAATGAAAATTTGTCTATACAAATCTGTCTGCAAAGAAATGTGTCTAAACTACAAATCTGTTTGCAAAAACTCTGTTATCATACAGATCTTTCTGCAAAAATCTGCATAAAGTGTCATTGATTTATACGTTGATGTGTTAATAGGTAGCAAAAGATGGAGAGTTGGATTTCCCAAAGTTCTATGAGGACAGCCACACTTCAAAAAAAACGAATGACTGGATCCATCTGAAATGCCTTGAGCTGCATGTAAGTATGTGACAAGGAAATATATGTCTTCAATATTTTCTTGTACTTAGTACCCAATAATACATATATGTTACCGAAGTTTTTTTCGTCTTATTTATTTGCAATGATAGCAAGAGATGGTCAATGTCCAAGCGGCTGCCATCGAGTCGGGGACGCCATTGACACAAGAGGAGATTTCAAGGCAAGTGCTTGGACAGAAAAAAAGGTACTTGCTTGGATTTGGGAGTGGCCCACAACCCTCTACCATATTTGCAACATGAGCACACGATAAGGACATGGGGGCAATGCGAGCTGAGGTGGAGGCAGTTCGTGAGAAGGGCAAAAAGATCATGACGAGTTAATGAAAGAGCGAGAAGAGCGCGAGAGATATTACAATGAGCTGTTGAAAGAGCGAGAGGAGCGCATTCAATTATCCAATGAGATGTTAAAAGAGCGGGAGGATGGACAAAAGGCAAGGGAGGAGACAAATACAAAGGTCGAGCATCTTAATAACGTAGTCGCCAAACTGTCACAACTCTTGGGAATCTAAGTTGGGCATCCGACGTTTGTTTTTTGATAAGAACAATTTCATTAATGTCACACTTACTTTGTTTAAATATGTTCGCTTTAAGAGTTGAAAATGTCATCAATTTCGAAGTTAATCCGCCTCACAAATTCAATGGGGGTTGTTTAAATATGTTCGCTTTAACTTTTGTTCATAAGTTTATGAGCTGATTCTTTATACTCATTCCTAGATTACAAACCAAGATCGTCATTCACTGAAACCTTTGTTTATACCCACTAACCATCAAAGTTGAAAACCTTTGCATTTTCAACTTTAATTTGCATTGTATCATTATCACCCAAGACCCTTATTCACTGAAAAGCCACAAGTCAAAAAGAATACTTCAAATGAGGAGCTGTTTAAATATGTTCGCTTCGTTTCTTAACAATGAACTTGTATTTAAAATATGTACTTGATTAAGATTAACTATAGTAGAAACATGTTAAAAAAACATAGCGAATTTCAATCTTCGTTTACAGTAACATGTAAACTTTCAACAGTGGTATTTTGAATAGTAACTCGAACCACTGTTTGGACATAATGGTAAGCTTCCCGGTGACAAATGTGATATGTAGGGATAGACGGTACGTAAATAGGACACATACGTTGGGAGTTAGAGTTGAAAATGTCATAAACTGGCGAAAATGCAAAACAGCCCTTGAAACACTGTTTTCTCGTAATGGGAAGCTTCCCAATGATAAATGTGACATGTAGGGACAGACGGTACGTAAATAGGACACCTACGTTGGGAATTAGAGTTGAAAATGTCATAAACTTAGTCGGAAAAAGGGGTTCAGGGGGCAAAAATGCAAAACAGCCCCCGAACCCCTGTTTTCTCATAATGGGAAGCTTCTCGGTGATAAATTTGACATGTAGAGACAAACGGTACGTAAATAGGACACCTACATTGGGAATTAGAGTTGAAAATGTCATAAACTTAGTCGGAAAAAGGGGTTCAGGGGGCGAAAATGCAAAACAGCCCCCGAACCCCTGTTTTCTCATAACGGGAAGCTTCTCGGTGATAAATGTGACATGTAGGGACAAACGGTACGTAAATAGGACACCTACATTGGGAATTAGAGTTGAAAATGTCA